TGTAGAGCGAGGAGGCTACCAAAAAGCGCCCACACGATTTACAAGAAGATAATATAAAAGCTTACTTCGGAGGTTTCAATCTCTTTTCCCTATTTACTGCTTTAATTGTATGCTTAGGATAGTCATCATGTAGATAATAAGACAATCTTTAGTAAAGTGGTAATAATGTAGAAAATAAATAGCCATGTATGCTTAATAAATAAATGGGTAAAAGCTTAATTATACCATTATAATGCTAGAATTTTCATTAGCTACCGAGATTGGGCGTTGTGGGGTGCCTAACACCTTCCCCACACGTAACCGAGCCCCAAACCCAACTCTGGCAATGAAGGCCTAAGTTGAATTTTTGAAAATAATTTTCTTTTTCTCATGTTTTGAGTAAATTATTGGTGGTGACTCCTTCGAACCATTTTTCAAACCATTAGTCGGAGGATTAGTTTGGTCTTTGGGCAATCCAAAGCTAATGAAATCTTACAAACGAAGGTCCAAACCATCTGTTGGCTGTGAGGTTCGATCAAAATTTTTTTAGGTTCCGACAAATGGCAACTCGATTAGGAAAATAAAAGAGGGTTAGGCCCATTTAGTGACAAATCTAGCAAAATAAGGTGTAATCAAATTTTTACCCATTTATAAACCATTGCACACATTAGTTTGCTTAAATTTTGCACTTGTTTGAAAATAAACTACACATAAACCATTGCACACATTAGTTCCCTCTATATCTGAGGGCAAGAGTGTGAATAGAACCTAAGGAGTGGTTGATGTACGACCGACCATAGAATGGGCCTTAGACACTCACAGTTCATTGTCAAAAATCATGCTCAAGGTGATAACCAGTTACTCTAGCCTAATACTTGGATGGACCATCGACATCTACCAGTTGACGGAGAAAGAGATATTGGGTCCCTATAAATAGGGCACTTAGGGGCCTTTGAGACCGGTGAGAATAAGAATCACCCAAGTATATGCACCTTTCTCCACAAGGACCTCAACCCATGGATATGAACATTACTGATTGTGGGTGTACGTTGTTTGAGCATATGCTTGTGCATTTATTTGTTTGTATTGTTTGTTTCCAATAGGAGTGGATTGGAAATTTAAGCAAACAACAGTTAATTACGGTTTAAGAATAAAGAAATTAATACCCTTTCTATGCCTACCTAGATCAGCATTTCATCAGCATGATATAGGTAGTTTCCTATTTTAAGAAAAACTAAGAAAATAAAGAAAATTTCCAAGTGGAATAAAATAACCTTCATCATGCATCATTTCCCTTTTAGATAAATGAAAACATGATAAAAAAAATAGGCAAATAAACACAATGGCATGCAATTTTTAGGCAAGTCCATTGATTCACCATGCATTTTATTCTTCTTAGATTACGAAAGGATTAGGTAGCAGCATTCATAGACAGTTAAGAAATGTGAATGTCTTAAAATATGTCATGCCTAAGATAGACAATAGTTGCACTCTAAAAGGGTGCCCAAATTGATTTTAAAAGATACCATGGTAGGGACCTCTCTTTGATAAAAATATCTATAGAGACAAGCCTTCTTGGAGCCTAGTCTGCTCTGTTTGCAAAAACCCACTATATTAAAAATGCATAAAAGACGTTCTAAGCAAAAATTAAAACAAGTTATGAGCTTGCTAAGATATGAGAGAGAAGACAGTGCAAATTTAGGCACTAATAAAGCATGATTTGCACAGATATCAACCACCTTTTAGCTTCTTTAGAATTTTGTGATATTGTCAAAATATGTTAAGCATTTATCGATAAAATACATCAATAAGATTGATACTTGTCAATTCTTAACTTTTTCTACATTCTGCATTCCATATCCTTCCTTGTAAATGAATAAGTAAGAATAAAAAGAGAAATATAACCTATACACGTTAATTAATCATAAATAATGAAAAATGAGTCGCTGGTAATCAAACCCGCATGTTAGAACGGGATAAGCTTAAAAGTTGAATTAGATATGATCCAAAGGGGTAAAGGGCAAAGCATGCCAAAACAATTGACGATCAAAACGTTGAGTCTGTGATAAAACTATGTTGTGGGTCTACAAAATCCAAGCGTCATCAGCTAAAAACTCATCCAACGTCGTTGGGGTTGGAGGAATAATTAGGAGTGGCCAAGTTTACACTCCTAGCGAATTGTAAGCTATTACCCCTAAAGAGAAGGAGAAAAATAAAGGAGAGGAACCTGAGGAGGAGGATAAATTCCTCAAAAGCATAAGGCAGAGTGAATATGAAAGACCATACATGGTCAAGAGAGCTTTCTCACCAAGATAATCCCAATATGGAGAAGAAGCATTATGCTTGAAGGCATTGCTTGAACCCGCTAAAATGAAAACCTGCAAATGGCATTCTAGGCAAAAGTTAAGGTAAGAAAAAACTCGTCAAGACAAGGGTCTTAGGCAGAAAAAAAAGGCTAAAAGATCCTGATAGGATATGTTCTATGAAAAAGTTAGGGATAAAAGAATAGAAAAAATAAGCAATGCTTACTCGAGCTGAAAATCTAAAGGCAGCTTGAGTATTCCTTCTAAGCAAGATTTTATGAAAATTCTACTCTAAGCTCTATTATCACTCTTGCCTATAGTTGCCTCCTTGGAAGGCCTTGGATCCACCAAACAAGAGTTGTACGCTCTATGTTCCACCAGAAAGTTAAGTTCATGGTGGATGACAAGCTGATAGCAGTTCAAGCTTGAAAAAGATTTACTCATCAGTAAACCACTCACCATTTCATATGTGGATGCCCCGGAGAAAGCCCTAGAAAATGCTTTTCAAGCACTAGAAATCACCCACGTTGAAAGATTCTTAAGCATTGGAAGCTTGGTAACATAGATGTTACACAAAGAAAGGTTACCAGCTAGGATAAAGGTTGGGTAAAGGTGCTCAAAGGGTAATTGGGTCAGCTAGCTTTCGAGACAATCTAAGGTGACATGGTTAGGGTATGAACCAATTATATCTCCAAGGGAGAAAAATTGAGAAATTTCCTTTCGGATAAATTTTTTTGAAGTGTTAATATGCAAGCATTAGAAAAATCAGCTCTAGCAATCAAGTGGATCGACTCTAAGAGGCACTCTCCTTCTTTCTCTTCGTGTATGAATCACGAACTTAGATTATGCTCGGGCCCTCGATCTATAGTAAATGGGCATGTGTAAATCAAAACATTGTCTTAATGCCATACGTCTATCTATTTCGTTTCTCTTTTTTCTTCATACATCTACTCTAAGCCTCATTAATAAACCTTAAATGAGTGAGTATACTTGGGTAGAAACCTCATTAGCTCAATATGTGTTAAAAACTGATAATGCATAAAGATCAATTAGACAAACTTAGCATGAATTGTGGATAAGAATTCAAAATAGTGAAATCAATGCGAGAGGCATTTCATTTTTAATAAAAGAATAAGTGGTGATCGTTTCACAAATGCAGCGAAAAAATAATAGCCTGCTAAAACAAAATTCTTAAAAACACAATAAAGGCAAGGGCCCAAAAGGAAACCCACTATGGAGGATTCACAAAAGTTAGGGCATGACCCACTAGGAAACCCACAAAAAGGGTAACCTAGGAAAAATTTAAGGTCAAGAAAAGTTCGTTAGGGAATCCACAAAAGGGATGACCTAAGCAAAAGTTAGGACACAAAAGCAGCATCTTGAGTTGAAAATCGAAAGGTGGCTTAGGAAAATTGCTTAATCAAAAAGTAATAATTCCAAGTCATTGTTTGATTCTCAAAGAAAAATAATAAGTTAATATGGAAAATGATTTTCCTGTTTTGGGTATGCTCGCTCATCAATTTAAACACCAGCCTACCTTGGCTAGCCTTACTTCTAAAACAATTTCGAAAAATCCTTCTAAACAAACCTTTTGAAAAATGAAAATATATCCTTTTCTTTCTCTTCTCTTGACGTATATGGCATTAATATAGTGTCGAGAGATACATAGAGGAACATCCGGTGAAAGTGGATTTGGGACAACTAAGGCTAGCAAACCTCACTGATGATTAATGCGCATAGATTAATTTCTTAAAAGTAAAAAATTAATTTGCATTTTTAAGCTTAGTACAGGAACGACCATTCCAAGTTACTGTTCACAATGTAATTTTAAGGCTGTGAATGGCCGTTCCAAAATGAGAACAGTCGTTCCATGCCTCTGACACCTATTTAAGCGTGTCAGCCTCCCTCATTCATATGGACCTGATTTTCTCTCTCCCCCTGCTCTCTTCAAGTCACACTAAGTAAGAGATCTCTAGTCCTTTTGGCAGAGATTTCAGAGTTTCTAGTCTAAAATTTGTACTCGAGTGTTGGAGAGGCCTTTGTAGAGTAAGGAGGCTACCAAAAAGTGCTCTCACATAGTTTACAAGAAGATAATATGAAAGCTTCATTCGGAGGTGTTGAGCTTAGGATTCGGGCTTCGTATTAGTTGAAGCCCAAAGGTTCCCCTTTTTTTGATACCGCGCTGGGCTTAAATTTACGCGCCCAGCGTAATTAACTCAAAGGCTCCCCAATTTTTAATGTGCCAGGCGCAAATATGAATGCACCGGGCGCGAATTTTAATGCGTCGGGCGCATGAACAACCTAAAACTCTAGAGTCATTCACGCCGAGCCTGGTGTTTATTGAGCCTGGGGTGGGCTTGGTAGAGGCAAAATTTGCCCTTTTGCATCAGGCTTGTCAGGGATGCGCCTGGCATGGTCAAGGCTTTAAATTGGACTTGCCTTAAGTCAGCCCTTCCTCCTCATATTGACATGGATTTCCCTTTCCTCACACTCTGAAGAAAAATGTGACCTACATCTACCTACAACAGCATGATTCTAACACTACCTTACCAAACACAATAACTAGCACACAAGCTACACATATTACAATAACATTAGCACTACAAATTGAAACTCATCAAAATAAAAATAAAAAAAACACATGCAACAAAGTTCAAATCTCTGGGTTGCCTCCCAGGAAGAACTTATTTACTATCTCGAGCCTGACTGAAGGAGATCTCAAGAAAGGATACAGCAGAGTCTTTCGACCTCTCCACCCAAGTAGGGTTTCAACCGCTGCCTATTCACAACCCAACTTCTTTGTGCCTCAGGATCTTCAATTTCAATGGCACCATAGGGTTTCACCTCCTTGACTGTAAAGGGGTCAGACCACTTAGATCTTAATTTCTCAGGGAAGAGTTTGAGCCTGGAATTAAACAGTACTATAGATTGGCCTGCCTTGAACTCCTTCTTGAGGATCTTCTTGTCATGATAACTCTTGACTTTCTCCTTGTATAGCTTGGATGATTCATAGGCTTGTAGCCTCAATTCATCAAGAGCATGTAGCTCCAATTTCCTTTTCTCATCAAAATTCAACATCTTCAAAGCCCAATAAGCTTTGTGCTCCAGTTCTACAGGAAGATGGCAAGCTTTTCCATACACCAATTAAAATGGAGTGAGACCAATTGGAGACTTGAAGGCAGTTCTATAAGACCATAGAGCTTCATCAAGCTTTGTAGACCAATCCTTCCTTGAAGATGACACAATTTTCTGCAAAATTCTCTTCATCCCTCTGTTAGACACTTCGGCTTGACCATTGGTTTGAGGGTGATAGGAGGTGGCAACCTTATGATGGACTCCATAGTGTTCTTAAGCCCTCTCCAACTGAGCATTGCAGAAGTGTGAACCTCCATCACTAATAAGCACCCTAGGGGTGCCAAATCTTCTAAAAATATGCTTCTTGAGGAACTTCACCACTATTTTTCCATCTGCCTTAGGTGTAGCAATAGCTTTAACCCATTTTGAGACATAATCCACTGCCACAAGGATATATTCATTTGTGAAAGAGGAAGGTAGTGGTCCAACAAAATCTATGCCCCAACAATCCAACACCTCAACTTCCTGCATATTCTGCAAGGGCATCTCATGCTTCCTAGTGATTCCCCCGGCCCTCTAACAACTATCACATTACTTGGCATGACTGTGGGTATCTATGAAGAGTGTAGGCTAGTAAAAACTAGATTGGAGAACCTTGGCAACTATTTTCTCTCCGTTGAAATGCCCTCCATAAGGAGAGTTGTCATAGTGCCACAAAATACTCTTGCCCTCCTCTCTAGAAACACACCTCCTCAGTAGGCCTTCTGATCCAATACATAATAGGTAGCATCACGTAGGAATTTCTTTTTCTGGTGCCATGTGAGATCTTCAGGTATGACTCCAGCTGCCTTGAAGTTTGCTAGGTCAGCAAACCAAGGGCGTTCCTGCACCATGAGCAATTTTTCATCTGGAAACTCCTCTAAGATTTCCTTCTCTTTCATGGTCACCTCATCATTCACAAGCCTTGAGAGGTGGCCAGCAACTAAATTTTCCTTGCCACTCTTATCTTTAATCTCCAAGTCAAATTCTTGCAGGAGAAGAATCCATCTGATGAGTCTTGGCTTGGAATTCGGCTTGGTGAGTAAATACTTGATGGCTGCATGATTTGTGAACACAACCACTTTGGAACCAATCAAATAGGACTAAAACTTTTCCAATGCAAACACTATGGCTAGCAAATCTTTCTCAGTAGTGGCATAATTAATTTTTGCCTCATTTAAAACCTTGCTAGCATAGTGAATAACATGAAAAGTTTTAGCCCTCCTTTGGTCTAAGACTGCCCTAACCGCATAATCACTAACATCACACATGATTTCAAAATCAAGTTTCCAATCCGGTGCAATGATTATGGGTGCAGAGGTGAGTCTAGCCTTTAAAGCTTCAAAAGCTTTTAGACAAGAATCATTAAAGTAAAAGGGAGTGTCTTTGTTTAGGAGATTACTTAAGGGTCTGGATATCATTGAAAAGTCTTTTATAAATCGCTTGTAGAAGCCAGCATGCCCTAAGAAACTCTTAATACCTTTGACATTGATGGGTGAAGGAAGTTTCTCTATTACCTCCACCTTGGCTAGGTCAACTTCAATACCTTTGAGAGAGATTTTGTGCCCTAGGACTATCCCCTCGGTCACCATGAAATGACATTTCTCCCAATTGAGGATAAGGTTGGTTTCCAACCATCTTCTAAGCACCACTTCAAGATTGGCTAGGCACTCATCAAACGAAGACTCGAACACGGAGAAGTCGTCCATGAAGACCTCAATGCTCTTCTCCACTAGGTTAGAGAATATAGCCAACATACATCTCTAAAATGTTGCAGGAGCATTGCAAAGTTCAAATGGCATCTTTCGATAAGCAAAGACACCAAAGGGACATGTGAAAGAGGTCTTTTCTTGGTCTTCCAGATCTACCATAATTTGATTGTAACTCGAATTCCCATCAAGAAAGCAATAATAAGCTTGGTCAGCTAATTTCTCAAGCATTTGATCCATAAACGGGAGTGGAAGATGATTTTTCCTTGTAGCCTTGTTGAGCTTTTGGTAGTCAATACACATTCTCCACCCCATGACCGTCCTAGAAGGAATCAAATCGTTTTTCTCATTCTGAATCACTGTCATACTACCCTTCTTTGGAACCACTTGCACAGGGCTCACCCATGCACTATCTGAAATAGGGTAGATCATTTTGGCATCCAACAGCTTAATCACTTCCTTCTTCACTATACCTTCTTCATCACAGGATTGAGTCACCTTTGTGGTTGAGCAACCGATTTTTATTTGTCCTCCATAAATATTTTACACATACAATAGGTTGGGCTAATTCCCTTGAGATCAGAAATAGACCACTCAATTGCTCCTTGATAAAACTTCAAGACTTTCCCCCCCCCAAAGAAAGGGGCATGGTCCCCGGGCCAACCAGTATATGCATGGAAATTCACAGTAGAGGGGAACTAGTAGCCGGGAGTGGTCGCGGAGTGTAATGTGAAACTCTAGAAGGCATTAACAATGAAGAGTTGGCCACGGTGGAGGGACTCCTGGCTCTGCATGAAAGTATCCATCCGACCCTCTAGAGCGTCAAAACGCTGATAGAAAGTGAGTGGAGGGTCCTGAGCAGGAGCATCGTCCATGGGAATGTCCTCCTAGGGTCCAGCAACATGAATAGGCTCCAGCGCAGCAACAGGTGGCTGACGATCCTAGCAATAGGCAGAGATGTAGCGGCTATCAATCGCACATCCAAGACCCTCGAAGGGTGGTGCATGGACATCCACACCAGCAAGCTGACATAACTGAGTGATCAAGGAAGGATGTCCAAGGGCTGCGGAGGGTGGTGCATTGGCGTAGTCAGAAATCTCCACATAGATGATGGAGCCAATGTCCATAGTCTGCCCTGTCATGATGCAGTACATGAGCATGGCACGAATCTAGTGCAGGTCAGAAACATGAGAGCATGGGAGGATGTTGGCATCAATCAAGGCTGACCAAATCCTGGCCACCAGTAACAAGTCACGACGCTTCACATGAAGTGGTTGTTAAGCCCGGTTCCTATGAAAGTCGGCCCCAGGCATACACATCACAGCCTCAACCACCTCGGCTGTTATCGTCCCACCCTCAAAATTCTCGTACTCACACTGCTCAGGGGGTTGTAACGCATTCCCCAAGAAATCATTAATAATATGGGCATCAAAGGGAACTTGAACACCCCTCACATAGTTGTTGTAGGGAACGATGCCCTCCTCTGGATGAAGGTACAATTTGAGCTTATCCCATCACCGCCTAGTGAGCTCATTCTAGAAATCAAGGGCCTCATCGTCCTCTAACTCCACTCACCTCTCTAGTATAAATTTTCTGTCGCTCATAGTAGAAAAATAAGTCTCGTTGTGCTTGGTGAGGAACTGGCAGGAGTAGGGTCGGTTGGGTTTACGGGGAGGCGGAGGAGGTTGGTCAAAGCGAGGACGCTTGCTGGAAGAGGCCATCTATACAACTCAACGCAAGAGACCCATGAAAAAATAATGGTGAGCACGACAACATACACAGTGATGACTAATTCAAATATGGCAAAGTGGAGAATATCCTTAGACCAAAATTAAGCACAAACAGTGATGCACAAGGAATAGACAGTGACAATACAACAGAAAAAGGAACAAAAAGAAAACATTACTCAAAATAGAGAAAAATATGGGGTGCCAAATATGTAATGCATCGAGTGCGAAACACCTACGTTGGGCATGACAGAGCATTGCACTCTCTGGGGTAAATTGCATTGGGCACAAAAGGACTGTGCCGGGCACGAGAGAGTAATGGACTCCCTTAGTCTCCTTACATTGGGCGCGAGAGACACACGATGGGCACGAGAGTAAATGTTCAACAACGAAAATTGTGTCAGGCGCGAGTGTAACACGTTGGGCGCTTATCCATGATAACCCACTAACAATGCAAGCGCGTCGGGTGTAGTTCTTCACGCCCGGCTCAGATTCATATGCACAACACATAAAACAAATGTGCGCCAGGCATAGTTCTTCTCGCCCGGCGTGGGTTCATACAGGGGCTTAAAAACTCCTTTTTTTCTGCCCAGAACCCCTAATGCAGGTTACAAAAACTAATCTAGCACCCACGAACAACTAATGACAATACATAAACACATTAAAACGAACATAATGATAAACAAAGAAACCTACTTGAATGCGGAGTACAGGAAGGAGAAGAATAGAGTGTGTGACCTTGGGGATGCAGGTTAGAGGCAAAATGAGGGATTGAGAAAGAACAAGTGGGAGAGAGTTGAAGAAAGAAGGGAGAATGAGAGTTTTTTTTTTCAGAGAAAAGGATAAAGGCAAGGTGAGTGGGGAAGGGAGAGGTTTATGGGAGTTGAGGGATTATAAGATTTGAGGGGTTGTGCGTTGGGCTTAAACGTGTGCATAGGGGTTGGGTCGGGCTTCGTATTAGTTGAAGCCCAAAGGTTCCCCTTTTTTTGATACCGCGCTGGGCTTAAATTTACGCGCCCAGCGTAATTAACTCAAAGGCTCCCCAATTTTTAATGTGCCAGGCGCAAATATGAATGCACCGGGCGCGAATTTTAATGCGTCGGGCGCATGAACAACCTAAAACTCTAGAGTCATTCACGCCGAGCCTGGTGTTTATTGAGCCTGGGGTGGGCTTGGTAGAGGCAAAATTTGCCCTTTTGCATCAGGCTTGTCAGGGATGCGCCTGGCATGGTCAAGGCTTTAAATTGGACTTGCCTTAAGTCAGCCCTTCCTCCTCATATTGACATGGATTTCCCTTTCCTCACACTCTGAAGAAAAATGTGACCTACATCTACCTACAACAGCATGATTCTAACACTACCTTACCAAACACAATAACTAGCACACAAGCTACACATATTACAATAACATTAGCACTACAAATTGAAACTCATCAAAATAAAAATAAAAAAAACACATGCAACAAAGTTCAAATCTCTGGGTTGCCTCCCAGGAAGAACTTATTTACTATCTCGAGCCTGACTGAAGG